CAAGATACTGTAGATATGGTCACTTTACTTCAGAAGTGGTTATGTCATGACCATAATTCAGAAGCAAAATGTTTCTATTAAAATTAAATTGGGGAAATATAGCACTCTGGGTTCAATCTCGCTTCAAAACAAAAACAAAAAGGTAAGCTACATGATAATCATGTTTTCTAGGATACTAGGCTATTAAAAAATTAAAATAATTAAATCTCCAACATATCATTACATATAAATTTGGAAATGTTATATATTCAAGAAAGCAGTAGAAGGTCCTTTTGTCCTCCCTGACCTACCTACCTAATCACACTACTGAAAGCTAATGCAAAGGGGGTTCTTTCTCGGAGGACTAGACATCAGATCAATATTCTCAACTGAAGCTACAGAAAGACACCGACTAGAAATCCTTCTACTTGTAAAAGACTTGAAAGCAAGCAGAGGCTGCAGCTCAGTGATAGAGTACTTTCTAGTATTTCTGAGGTCCTAGGGTCCATACAGTGAGCACAGGAAATAGAGTAGACAGGGAGGAAGAAGGTGTTCAAGGGGCACAAACATAGTGATTTCCAAATGACTCCCTAAAGATACAGTATAATGAGCTGAGAACACCCGAAGTAAGCAGCAACCACAGCACAGGTAAGAAGAGCACTGAGCCAAGAACACCTGCCAGTCATCCACAAAGCCCTTGTCCTATCTCTAGCTCCCTATCTCTCAAACCAGACAGGCCTGAGCACTCCAGTAATCCTAGAGCTCTCTGGAGGTGGACTCAGAGGGTCAGAGAAGTTTAACAAGAACCTGAGATTTGAGGCCAGCCTTAAATAAAAGAGACCCTGTTTGCCAAAAAAAAAAAAAGTAGAGTACAGATTATGAGACTTTTGTAGCTTTTCCGAATGTACTCATTAACTGGTAGAAACTGGTAAGATATTTTGTTAATTTAAGATATTCTACACTCAACAAATAAAAATACAAAATCTAAATAGTTCCCAATTTTATTCTCTCTTACCTTCACTGAATTTACAGAAGAGTGATATGGAAAGGAGTCTAAGCACGTATCTGAGCCGGGCGGTGGTGGCGCACGCCTTTGATCCCTGCACTTGGGAGGCAGAGGCAGGCGGATTTCTGAGTTCGAGGCCAGCCTGGTCTACAGAGTGAGTTCCAGGACAGCCAGGACTACACAGAGAAACCCTGTCTCGAAAAACCAAAAAAACAAAAAAAAAAAAAAAAAAAAAAAAGCACGTATCTGGAATCTGCCCAACCAAATTCAAGAATCTTGTCTCATACCCTCAGCTAATGAATCCCTTCAATCAATACAACGCTGTTAAGATTCGTGGCTATATCATACAACAAAACGGAAAACAGTAGTATTCAGGGTCGTTCTAACTCTAAAACGAGTTCACTAAAGGAAAAGATAAGAGCTGAAGAGAGGCCTTGGGGAGTAAAGGTGCTCTGGCACCAAGTCTGACATCTAAGTTGGATCCTCAGGACTCACAGGGTGGAGAGAAGTGGGCCTGACCTCCACTCATGTACTGCAGCAGCAGCAGCACGTGAGGGCAGGCATGCCCCCTCACTCACTCTCTCACTTATAAAATAAAAAAGGAAAACAGGAACAAGCAAGAATCACAGAAAACTATCACTTTCTTCAACTCTCTTACCATTATTATTATTATTATTATTATTATTTGTTTTGTTTTGTTTTTTCGAGACAGGGTTTCTCTGTGTAGCCCTGGCTGTCCTGGAACTCACTCTGTAGAGCAGGCTAGCCTTGAACTCTCAAACTCAGAAATCCGCCTGCCTCTGCCTCCCAAGTGCTGGGATTAAAGGCGTGCGCCACCACCACCTGGCCCTTACCATTATTGATACCTTAAAATTACTACATAAATTCCATTAAATTTTAAAGTTGAAAAAATTAAAAATAAAAACCACAACCAAAAATCCTTGTATAAATCTGATACCATTGATATTTTTTCTAATTTCTTCAAAAAGATCACCAAAGTTGTATTTTGCAGAAAATATAAAATATGCATTCTAAGAAGTTAATTTTATTCATTTTAGTAATATTTTTTAAAGTAGCCTTGCTCTGTGGCCTCTGGAACTTGCAACTGTCTTGCCTTAACTTCCTGAGTGCCAGGAGAATAAGCCACTATTAGGATTAGATTACTCCTTTGTATGCAAAGTAAGGTTACGATATACTTTCAAATGATTACACATAGCACATAAATACTCATGAAATATAAATTACATAGGTTACAACATCAATGGTGGGAGGGGGAGAACATTCACTCGCAATACCAGATACAATAAAAAAGATATTTGCCAACTCATATACAAGGACATAGACCTTGCTTCAGCTAACTTTTAATAAATCTCCATATGTAAGTGATACTACTATATGGCAACTGAATTCAAAAGTTCCCACTAAAAAATATACATCATAGGAAAGAAACGCTGTAACTTTCAAGTGTTTTTTTTTCTGATCTAATCAACCTATGAATCAACTGTTCTTAGAAGCACAACTGTTTAGACACTATCTCATTCCTTTTGATGATATAATCTTAGGGGATTTAATAGTTATGTGACAACTAACATAAAACTGTGTACGGACATGATCATCACAGGAACTAAAAAGGCTCTCACTTATTCCTGGAGTCTTCATAAACACCAGATAGCCAACATTAGAACACAGGTGCTGACGCTCTGCCCATCATTTATGAGAATACTCAACATACCAAGTTTAAGAAACGTGGAGAAACAACAACTAAAATATGAAAGCTCAAGTGACAACACACATGAATATACATGAACACAGGGTACCAGGCAGAGACTGTCTTAGGAAGTTATAAGAGAGAAACAAAGAAAATACAACCATTAAAAACAAGCAAAACCGAAGCTTTAGAGCTGAGAGAGAGAGAGAGAGAGAGAGAGAGAGAGAGAGAGAGCGCGCGAGCGAGCGCGAGCTCGCGCGCTCAGGAGGTAGAGAGCAATTAGAGCACCTGCTCCACTTTTGGAAGACCTGGGTTCAGTTCCCAACGCCAAAAGACAGGTGACAGCTGGCTGTGACTGGTTCCAGGAGATGGCGTGTCCTCTCACTCCCTCCTGGCCTCCACCAGCATCAGGCACACATGGTGGTGGTGGTGCGCAGGGATCATTTACTCAATGGAAGCATACACTCACAAAACAAATATAAAAAATAACTTTTTAAAATATGAAAAGAGAGGAGAGAGACAAGAATGGTGGTACACTATAATCCCAAGAATCTGAGGCAGGAGGATTACTTTGAGACCAGCCTAGGTTACATAGTAAACCCAAGGTCGGCCTGAGTTCCATTTTGAGATCTTGTCTCAAAGAAAAAAACAAAAAAAAAACCTCTAACAGTTGGGGAAAGGGGGGTCAGATGTGTGTGGAGAGGACTATTCCACTAAATAATAAACAGTGAACAGTAAAAAAAAAGTTCTTATGACAGCACATTTTCTGTCCATTTGGAAGGACCACAAAAGCACTTCTCTAAAGAAAAAAAAATCACCATCTAGCTGGGTGTGGTACAGGCCTTAAAGCCCAGCACTTGGAAGGCAGAGGGCGGAGGATCTCTGTGAGTTCAAGGCCAGTGCGGTCAACACACATGAGTTTCACACCAGCCAGGGCTATTATAATCAGCTCCCTATGCCCTGGTCTTAAAACAAATAAAAGACTGTCATTCAAATATCATTGCAAATTTAAGTCTATATTCTTGGAAAATTCTGTAATAATCAGAACCTCCATACTTAGAGATGATGTACTTCAAAGACTACAAAAGGAACGCTGTAATTGCACAACAGAGAAAGTAAATGAAATAATATCTATTAACATGGAGTTGCCATCGCCCAGAACACACTGTGACTTTTACTCTCTTCACTGCACAACCTACCACTTCTCCATCCATGCAGTCGCTCAAACATAAAGAGTTCCTGTGCTAATCCCACAGTAAGCCTCAGGAAGTCTCACATCATAGTAGCTATAAACCTCTGTTAACAGAAAAAGAATGTTTTTCCCAAAATAGCCACACAACACGAAGACAACTCAAATTCTCTAATAATCCCTTTATAAGACTCCTGCCAGCTTGATTTTGATACATTAAATATGTGGGGCCTATTTTAAAAGTTCTGTGTGACTTATCAAAACAGCTTCGTAGTTGTTTTTAAGTTTCCAAGTTGTTTTTAGAAGCGCTTGAATACTGATGAAACCGGGCAGCTATCAAATCCTTAAGAGGCAATTTTTTGCCAAATAAGATGGGCAAACGTCCTAGAGGCGCTAAAACTGGTATTGGAGGTCTTGCGACTTTTTAAAAAATGAAGAAATGGCTCGAACACTCACCAAGCCCTTCATTTACAAGTTTATTCCAGCGTTCTTTTCACTCTATGCTTAATGATACTTTCTTTCCATAAAGGCTTTGAAAGATAAAAATATGACGGATCACATAATACTGTCCAGTCTATTCTTAATGGAACTCAAATAAACTTAGGATCGAGTTCACAGTAATTTCATTTACGAAGTCCACTGTTAAGCATGACACCCGAAATCTTAGAACAGTGGTTGGGGGGCACACACAGACACGACCCCCCCCCCCAAGTCTGGTTAGGAGGACCAAGAGAAACGGTTTAAAGCACAGGAGGAAGGAGGCCCGGAGAAGCACAGACAAAAAAGCCAGAAAGATTTCACAAGGAAGTAGAGCGGAGCGCAGGGGAGGGCAGAAAGCGACCCGGAGAGTAACGCCGAAAGGTGGTGTTCTCCTGCGCGGCGTGCAGGACTGGGTGAGCCGCGGCCTGGAGTGGCCCGCGCGCCCATGGGCGCTGCCTGCACGCCGCGGAGCGAGGGGAAGCAGCCGACTTCCACGCGACCCGGCAAACTACTCCCTCGCCGCGCCCCCCGAAGCCGCGAGCGGAGGCGGAGGCGGCGGCCCGGGCCTAGCCCTGTGCTCCGAGAGCAGGCTGAACGGACGGCCGTTCCCCACTCGGCTGGGCGCAGAGCGGCCTTACCTGGGGCGAAGGTGGAAGGCGAGGTCTCGCGAGCTTGCCCGCCGCACAGCCGCCCGCGGCCCCCGGCTTTCTCCCGAGACGTGACACCGCCTCCGCCGCCGCTTCGCCTTTGGGGGCTCGGCCACCGCCGCCGCCCGAGCTGTTTACACCGTCCGGCCCCTCACACCGCCGCCGCCGCCTTCTCTCCAACCCAGAGCCGCTGCCGACTCGGCCGCCGCCACCTCCTCCGCCGCAGCCTGATCTCTCTGGAGCATCTTCCAGCCACCCGACACGGAGAAACAGAGACTCCAGCCGCGCCGACAGGAAACTCCCCCGCAACTGCCAGGGGGGACCAGGCGGTCAGAGCACCATCGGCTTTTCCGCCATTGAGCAGCAGCCGCTCCGCTCCTTCTGCAACCCCCTCCCCGCACCTCCGTCTTTCCCCGCCTCTCCTCGAGCTCCGCCCCCAAGGGCACCCATTGGGACGCCGTGCTATCACCGCTGCCCTCGGTTTGCTGAGAAGCCTGTCAATCTACGTTCTCCCGCCCAACCTGGCCCCTAGCACCCTGTGTGCTTCTCTTTCCCCGCCCACACGGCCCCTCCTCTGAGTCTTTAATTTCCCATTGGGCATCAGCCCACCTTTAATTGGCAAAGTCAACTATCCATCAAACACCGCCCACCAGTGAGGCCCAACCCTTCATTACCATTTACTTTATTCAGCCCCGCCTCCGCCTGAACTAACGCCCGACGTCACCGGCCTGCCCACCCTAGTAACCATAGGTAGAGTCCTCCGTCAGTCAAATTACGCTCCTACTTGGAGACCGATTTCCTTTTGTGATTGGTCCAAATGGAGGCCTGACCATCCGATTATTGGCTTCCTCTACTTGTCCGTCACTAAACCAATTTCCAAGTCCGTCATTTCGGCTTTTTTTAAATGAACGCGCAAAAGTATCCTAAAAGGGATTGGCTAGTCTTCGTAGACGGCCAAGCCCCGAGTCTGCGGACCCTGCAGTTCTGACCTCTACGCTTCGCGGAAAACGAACACTATAAAGAAACCAACGGGCAGTCCACTTATAGGTGGAAATTGGTCCCACCCAGAGTGGAGATAACCGGCTCCTGATTGGCCAGAAAAGTGCCCCTAGACCCTCATTGGAAGAGATGAACGCCTCTCTTTAGCTTAGAGCTGTGAAGGGAGAGCACGGAAAGGTTCGAGAAAGGGCCTGGAGAGAGGCGTTGTTTTGCTTCAGCAACGGGTGGGGCGCACGCGGGAGTGCAAAACTGGGCGCATAGGGCTCTTGGGAGGTGTTGCAGAGAGGGAAAGAGCCCGGATGTTCCCTAACAATGAAATCATCTCTGACCAATCAGAGCCTTATTGTTGGGATACCTGCATGACCTGTCTACAGCAGGGGAGAGTGGGCGGGAAGTTGAGAAGGTTGAAAAGCCGCTTGAGAAAATGGGACAGGTAATCCCTTCAGGATGATTTTGTGATGGTTCAGTTTGTTCATTCGTCTTCTTTACCTCGACCGCCTGCCTTCCAGCCCCTGGCAGTTCCGTGTTTTGTTTCTGAGCTCTAATTTTTAAAACTCCTGTCTAGGCTCTGGACATTCACTAGGTCATTCCTCTCTTAAAGAGCACCTGCATTTTGCTAGGCGTGGTAGGTAGAACTAGAGATACAAAAAAGTAAAACTGGCAGGCAGTCCCAGACTGGAATCATTGAACGTGTGCAGAGGGTAGTGAGGACATAAAGGATTCTCCCTCTGGGTATGATTGCTAGGAAGGCTTCACAAAGACGGGGATGAATCCAGAATAAACTGCAGGAGTTCTACAAGGCAGATGAAGGAAACGGTCATTTAGTAATCAGATTGAGCTAGAAAGTGAACCAGGTCCCAAATCAAGTGAATGGAGCTTTTAAACGTTCACCTGAAGAGATTTTTAACATGCTCATTCTGATAGTTACACAAGTCTTTGAAAGATTTTAAACCTTATTCATACTTAGGTATAAGTTAGTTGGGACAATTTAGGCTTAGACCCAAGGGAGTGCAAATTCAGCTTTGGAGATAAGGACATACTTCCGAAGCAATTTCCACAGTGAAAGTGGCAGAAATAAACATTTGGTTGCAATTCAGATTTTCCTGAACTTCAAGTTTAAGAACACTGTCTTAAGGTTTCTATTGCTGCCATGAAACACCATGGCAACCAAAAAAACAAGTTGAGTAGAAAAAGGTTTATTGGGCTTACACATCCACATTGTAGTCCATCACTGAAGGAAGCCAGAACAGGAATTCAAACCTGCAGACAAGAGCTGATGGAGAGGTGTTACTTACTGGCTTGCTCACATGGCCTGCTCAGCCCGCTTTCTTGTAGAATCCCGTGACCACCAGCTCAGCATGGCACCACACGCGGTGGGCTGGGCCCTCCCCATCAATCAGTACTTAAGAAAATGTTCTACAGGCTGGCCCACAGCCAGATCCTAGGTAAGCGTTTGCTCAACGAAAGTTTCCTCCTCTCGGATGTCTCTAGCTTGTGTCTGGTCGACATTAAAATCTAGTCAGCACATAAGGTGTTTTTACAGGATAGTGGGCAAACAGGTAGCTAAAATCGGGATCACCCAAGGTTCCAAGCTACATTCATGCCTACAAAATCCAGAACTCACTCTGGGGATAAAGCTCAGAATGATAAAATTTTATTTATTGTGATTCTGGAGATTGAACTTCAAAAGGTAATTTTTAAAAGTAATTCTTTGGGTGCTAGATTTTTGGTTTTTGTTGTTTTGTGAGGGCTGGTTTTGGTTTTTTGTTTTTGTTTTTGTTTGGTCATTTGTTTTGTTTTTGTTTTTGTTTTTTTGAGGGTTTTTTGGTTTGGTTTTGATACACCAATTCTTACACCCTAAGGCACTGAGAATTAGAGACAGCCATAAAAATTTCTTTCCTCTGATTTTCCATACTGTAGGTGAGCTTCAATAAAGAAAAGAACGTAAGCCCAATTTAGTTTTGACTATCCCTTCAAGGAGCTTTATTATGGGATCAAGAAGGTTTTAATAGCATTTAGTGTTTCCATGTGTGCATGTGTGTACATGTGCAGGTGCGTGAGCAGGTGCGTGTGCAGGTGCATGTGCAGGTGTGTGTACATGTTTGGAGTGAAGGTATGAGGACAATGAGTTCTTGCCATCATGTAGGTCTCAGAGTAGAACTAAGGCTATTAGGCATGATTACAGACTCTTATACCCACTGAACCATCTTCTCCAGCCTAGGAGTTATTTAAATGACTTACAGAATATATTTCCCTAAATCACACCTTTGATTAGGATATCATATATAAGAAGATTGTAGTATGGGACCTCACCTTCTAAAATAGGGGACATGCTATCAACCAATAAGGACCCTTGGATACCCTTGCCTAGAGAGCCCAGGCAAGCACAGATAGGAATCAGAGCACCTTCTTGCCCTGCTTGATTTCCTTTGGCAGACACTGAAAAGCGATATGAGATTCAGTAATGTAACTAGGCTGCAGATTGCATACAGCTCATTCTTTAATCACTAAAAGTAATAAAGCATGCTGAGTTTTTATGTCTAATACTACAATGAGATCACAGACAAACACTATCAGCTTAACTCTGAGCTACTGAAGCTTAAACAGCAAGCCCTTAAAGAAGGCCCTAAAGGATTCCTAAGTTTAAACCGTGGTGTGTATCACTGTAGGTATGTGATATGTCACACGAAATCAGCACCGTCATAATGGTACTGCAACAACTCAGTATTGTGGTGACTGCATTCTGAGCCGTGGTTTGTCCAATCATAATACCTTTCTTTAGAACCAGAGGAAGAGCAGTGGTCACTCCTAGTGATACTCCCCAATATGTCACTGAAAGTTGAAGTAATGCTAAGTGTAAGGTAGAAAATCTGATTTAGAGGCTCTTTCTCTTTATGATGAGCGGGGTGTCACTTTGGTTTGTCTTGAGACAGGGTCTTCTTCTGTAGCCCTGGCTGTCCTGCAACTCACTATGTAGACCATGCTGACCTCAAATTCACCAAGATCCCTGTTGACTTTTAAACCCCGGAACAAACAGCTGAGGTGCCTATTCAACTTATCAAAGTGGACCTGGCCTCCAGGTTCTCCCAGCATCCCTCAGTCCCTACCTGTCACAGGTATGACTGGCATACCCTGCTCTCTACCCTGAACTCATCAGCCTGGGCACTGGGCTGCCCTTCCCCCAGAAGCTCTTCCCTATATAATCCTGGCATTTGGTTACCTGCCCCTTTTTGTATCTTTTGCCCCTTTGGCCTCCTGGATACTATACTTGATTCCCTTGTCTCCATCTCTCCCCACAAGGTTCAGGGTCATGACCACTGTGGACTCTCCCAGATTGCCTCTGGCTATGTCTCCCACATATCTATAAGAAACTTTCTCCTCCATCATACCCAGGAACAGTCATGACCTTTCCTTTCCTTTTTCTTTCTTCCTTTATTTCCTGACTCAATCTGCTTCCTGGGTGCTAGCATTAAAAGCATGCACCACTGCTCCAGCTCTGGGGTTCTTTTTATAATAAAACATTGGGGCTGGGAAGATGGCTTCAGTCATAAAGAGCTTGTCTTGCAAGCACTGTAGTCTGGTTTCCATCTCCAGAACTTACATAATAAAAAGCTGAGTTTGGTAGCATAAGATTGTATCCAAGCACTGTGTGTGTGTGTGTATGTGTGTTTGTGTGTGTGTGTGTGTGTGTGTGTAACAGAGACAGGCTCACTGACCAACGAGCCTGGCCTAATGGAGGTGCTTCAGACCAGTGAGAAACCTGACTCTTAAGAAACAATACCCTGATGCCCCCATACACACAGGCTTTTACACACACATGCAAATAACATATCAGATTTCCAACAAATCATCCTGGGCACAGTGCCTCCCAACACCACACAATTCTTTCAGACTTTAAATGGGGCGTGGTGCATCGCAGTACCTAATTGCAGTCCACATTGCAATGGGAATCTTCATATGTTTCACATTAAGAACCTCTTGTGTATTTGCTATGTCCATTTGTGTCCCTGCTTCATACAAATCAAATTACCAAACTTTCTTGAGGTACTTTGGTGTTGGACTTTAAGTACCCTGATTTGAGTTACATTGAGATACTGGGTTGAGCCTAAGTCCTCACAGATGCTAGGCCAGCAGTCCACTACCAGCGACTGAGTCTCTTCTACTACTGTCTCTCTATAGATGCAACTTGGTCGAGTCTTGACTTGCTATGCACAGAGTCTTGAGTTCAGTCCCTAGCAACACGTAAGCCGTGTGCTGCTACACACCTAACTTCTCAGCTTCTAGGAAACAGAAGCAAGAGTGTCAGTAGTTGAAGGCTAGCCTTGACTGCACAACAAGAATCCACAGAAGCCAGGCAGGAGTGACACACA